GCCTTCGCTTCTGGGGTCCCCTTGGGCGCCTGGGGCTTTGGGTCTCCCGGCGCTGGACTCAGTGCTCTGGGGGGTGTGCCTCTCCGGCTCTCCACAACCACTATTGAGCATTTTTTTCTATGGTTAAAACTTTACATGCACAAGTTCACCCTCACAAACAACTACAGGTGCTAGGCTTCAGGTACTTAGAGATTCACTTCCAAACAGAAACCCCACATTCATATCTTCAGGTAACACAGAGTACATGTCAGACTTAATAATATTACTTTAGTGATAGTTTCAAGGTGTTTGCTTTATTGTATATCTCGTACCATGTTTTTTGGTTGTGCTGTTCTTTTTTCTTTTTTTTTTTTTTTTTCTCCATCTCATTACAGGTGTTGAAGCAGACTGAAAATGTTTTGTCATTGTCTCCTTCCTATCTCCTCTTTCTTTCATCTTTTGTCCTGTTTTTTTCTTTTTCTTTTTCCTTCTTCTTCTTCTGTTTTTCTGCTCTACTTACATTGCAGTGTCCATATGAACTGTAAAACTCCCTGCATAATTATAATAAAGCAATTTATATACATGAAACAAGTGGAGCGGTATGGCAATTGCGATACCGCTACACTTGTGAAAGTAAAATCTGTTGGGCTCCTTTTGGCATCAAGACAATTATTCTTATTGCCACCTTGCCAGACAGGACACTGTAAAAAAAAAAAAAAAAAAAAAAAAAAAAAAAAAAAAAAAAAAAAAAAAGATAAGGAAAAAAGATAGGTGACTGAATAAAAATAAATATTTTTGTCTTTTTTTTTCAACAGGTCATAACAGCCCCAGAGGATGAAGAGCTGGATGACATGCCAGAGGATGAGGGGGAGAACGTGTTGGAGGCAGTCAGTGGTGCTCACTGGAGTGACCAGCTGTCTGCCGAGGTGTCTACCCTGGAGGAGGGTCTACCTGACCACCGTTACATTTAGATGGCAAGTAGAATCACATTTTAGCTGTTCTTATTTAAGGGTTATAAAAACAGTTTTAGTAAAGTCATTATTTTCTGCGTCTTCTTGAACATTTTTAGTAACATGGCAGCCATCGATTGGATCAGCAGTGGAGAGAGGCAACCCCCACCCCCCAGATGATGTCCCACTCGCAGTCAGAAGACTCCAAGCTCATCTGTGTGGCATCCCATCCAGTCCAGCAGCACCACCAGGGACTCCTGCTCAGTCACAATTATATATGTTCTCTAGTAATATTTTTATAATTTTATTTACTATTTTTATAATTTTATTTACTATTTCATATATGTTTCATGTTGCACGACTGTACCACAAAAAATTCCTAGTTGTGAACTTCTTCACTAACAATGGCAATAAACCCGATTCTGATTCTGATTTACTGTATATCTTTTGTAAATAGTTGTAGTAGTTAATTTTAAAATCTAATGTCAATAGTTAAAAATGTTTAATAGTTTATTGTAAATACTTGCTTCTCTAAAAATAAACTGATGTCTCTGAGAAGTTGTTCTAAGTTTACTTAAATTACAAAGAAGTGATGAAACAGATAATGTAAAAAGGTTAAAAGACTTTAAGAACACACCGACAGCACTAACTTTTATAAACAATTTAATAATTTAATTTAACCATAACAGCAACACAGAACCTCAACTTGTTAAAAAAACACCAAAAAATAACAACATCTGTCCACCATCCTCTCCAATAAATGAAATAATCTGTCCATCCTTTCCCGCCTCCCTCTGCCATCTCATCTCCTCCCTGATTAAATCCACCAACTCGTCACTCCTTCTTCTCTTCCTCCTTTTCCTCCTCTCTCATTCTCATTCTCTTCCTCATCTTCACCCTGATGCTGCTCAGCCTCTGCAGCACCTGGCCCTGGTGTTTCCTCAGGGATGGAGGCAATTAGGACAGGTGGGGCAACAGAGGGCCTCTGTCCTAATACCTCATCCATGAGGACAAACCAGGGCCAGGTGGCAGCAGTAGGGTGCCCACTGACCCCCTGCCCTGTCCAAGGATCTTTCCATTCCTAAAGTAGAGGAAAACTATTTGTATCAACAGATGCCAGAAAAAAAGGAACGTTTCATGATTTGGATGGATTATTGAAATTCTACAGAAAAAGACTTTGGAATGGTAACCTGGAGATTACTTTTTCAACCTTACTCAAAGTGTAAATTAACATGAATATAATAAATGAAAGATGTAATTTCCCTACACACACACATACATATACATACATATATACACACACACATATATATATATATATATATATATATATATATATATATATATATATATATATATATATATATATATATATATATATATATATATATATATATATATATATATATATATATATATATATATATATAGGTGTGTGTGTGTGTTTCATTACATTATCCAAACCTGAACATACTTTGTATTTTTTTTTTAAGTTGTCCCACACAAGGATCACTTCTATCACAAATATGAGATTTACAAAAAGTGGCATCTGAGCATCATTTGTTGTGATCCAAAGATTATATTTGTACGTTGGTGTTTGAACAGGACTTCTTTTAACTTGCGTGACTTTTACATAGAAATGCAACATGTAGATGGAATTCTGCCTCTTCCCTCCATCTGACTGCAGCAGTATTTTTGGCCCCGAGGATAAGGTGGTCATTTTATCCACTCCTCTGTCTGCTCACTGGAACAAAATGACATGTAAAGCATATTTCTGTTATGTCAACAGGCAAAATGATTGTTCTGTATAATTATGCCGGTATTGTTCTTCAAGCGAATTATACTTTAAACCTTATTATACTGTACTGTAAATAAACTATACATTATTGAGTATTAAAACAAAGCGTTTGCAGTATTGACAGCCCAGTACAGCTGGACTAATGTTATTTCTTCAGCTGCATTAAGCTTTAACAGCTCTAATCCTTTGTTATAAACTGTATGAGAATAAATAGATCCGATTAGTGAGGGATACGGCTATCAGTACAGTAAGATGTAGGTTAAAATAAAAAATAGTGACATTTGTATGAAGGCTTTTAATTGTTGATGAGCATCACGTATCAACAGGTTAGCTCTTAGCTTTAGCTTTAGCTGCTCCAACACATTCCGGTGGCTCTGTTACCGTCATGTATTTTAATAGATGTTCATTAAAAAAACAAAAAAACAAACTACTTACATTTAAAGGTGTTCTCCGCACTACTGTCGGCGCTGCTGCTGCTTTCGGTTGTCCGTAATTTGAAGAAAATCCGACTTTCTTCTTTTCTTCTTTTTCTTCAACTAAAAAAAAAAAAAAAAAAAAAAAAAAGACGCGCAAAGCACCTCGGGAAATCTAGCGGGAGGTGAGGCCACTAAGGACGGTAGCGATGCATCCTCAGAATTCGGGGAAAAGGAGGACGCATTTTGAGGCTGCATTTTAAGCGTCCTCAGAATTTTTGCCAAATGGGACGGCCTCCGCGCAGCGTTGTGACGTCACCGGCCTCAAAATGCGTACTACCAAGTACGCAGCCTGCGAATTGAGACGCACCCTCTATCGTTCTCTAGTTGCCCAAAGGAAGGCGTTACTTGGATATAACAAAACCGAATATCTTCGGAAAAGCTCCAAATGACACAAAACTCATATGGGTGAGTAGAACATGATGTAATAACGTAAAATCAAGGGAGCAATGTAAAAAAAATGGTGTTCCCCTTTAATAAGCGTTTCCTCTCAGGAGTGGGTCCATGCTTATGCATGTGCATTTCTTTTTAAGTGGAGAGGGTGGGTCTATTCAAAAATTCATGAAATCCTCCATTATAATTTGAATATGAACTGGTTCTAAAGGCGATCACTCTTTTCAACATGAATACTCTCTGGAGGTCTGAAACACCTATGTCATTCATGTCTGTCCGAGGGTCAGTTGGGGCAATGAGCAAAGTTTCCTCTCCTCTCGACGTTTTCTTGCTCATAGTTTTTCATGTGCTTATTTAAACTGCATTTAACCAGCTTTTCACAAACCATACATGTTTGTTTTCATTTATGGTATTTTCTGCTCCGATGGTCTCTCTATCTCTCCTGTTGTTCGTATGTGTAGTGAGAGCTGAGTGGGCGGGGCCAGGCTGAGCCTGTGTGCTGAGCCGGTGACGAGAGGCGAGGGGGGAGGAGCAAAGCGCTGGAATTACACAGACCAGCAAACTGCTGAATCTGCTGCACTTAGTGGAAAGAATAAAAAGTGGAGAGTGGAGAGAATAAAAAGTATCTATCTTGTTAAGTGAATATTGTTCAATATCAATACCAGTGTTGGTATCGATAGTATCGATCCTAGGATCGATCCGCCCACCTCTACTGCACATTTTGAGTATGTTTGGCTCAACCTGCTGCTGTGAAGCAGGATTCTCCAACATGAACAGAATCGAAAATAAATATGGATCCAGGCTCAAAATTAGCATCTTGATATGTGCTTGAGAATGGCTTTGTCTCCATTCAAACCCAGGTTCAAAGCCTTGCAGTGGAGCCTAAAGCCCACTTCTCTCATTAAGCTAGAAAAAAGAAAAAAACAGACAAAAAAACAGTCCGTTCAGGTGATTTATAAAATATGTGAATCAGGAAATTGTCTATATACCAAACTGAACAATTGTTGTTCTCTACTTAAAAAAACACTTGTTCACAGATTTTAAAATGGAAAAATTTTCTATTTCTTTTAATATTTTTTTATTTAAAGATTCAATGTACAACATGAATGCATAAACACCTCATTTTATTTTAGTGTTAAATTCTATAAAGTAACAGATCATTAAAAATGTCTCCGGACCTTTACTTCTTTATTCTGACCCTACTGATTTTTAATCGGTTATCCCTGGTTTAATGTTTACACATATTTATTTCACGTCATGTGCGCCATCCAATACAGCTCATTGGCGCCCTCCAAATCTAGTGAAAACTAGTGAAGAATATGGGATGAATGAATGACAAACTATGGTTAGTTGCTTTAGCATTTATAATATCAGTAATAAAAAATGTGTATGACTTATTAGACTTACTGGAAGAGGAAAAGGGAGGATGAGGACGACCTACATGTCCAGCTGTAAAATAAAGCAATGGTTAAGTAAGTAAAAAAAAAAACATTTATCCATGTTTGCAAATTATATTGTATGAAAATATATCATCAAAATGAGATGGTGTCACAAAGTGTACTGTTTAAAGATTCGCCTAAAAACTGGTTACTACTACTATTAACATAGTACTAATACTACTAATATATATATATAAAAGTGGAAGCTTTTGCTGTTGGCTAATACAAATCGGTACATAATAAAAATAAAAAATATGGAGATAGTGTTATTCATTTGTATTAGATGGACCTGAATCAATTATAGGAAGTTTACTCAATCTTGTTCCAAAATATTACTTGAGCAACCACTAAAAACAGAAATAAATATTTTTAAAACTAGTTTATTCCAATTTTGTTTGAATAAAAATGATGCTGTAAACCATGCATACAAACAAGATTTGCAGTCAAAAAAATCAGAGTTAAGGACTGAATTCCTTACAAGAAAGCCTTTCACAAAGCTGTTCATGTTGGGGTGATCTATATAACTTACAGAAAAGTGCAGATAATGCAATAAAAGTGCAGATAAAGCATAAATGGAGAAAATGACATTGTTTAGTAAGAATTTTATAATGTCACTAAAGTTTCTTTTACTTTAAATCTTTTAAAAATAAACAGAGGTGTCAAGTAACAAAGTAGAAATACTTGTTACTGTAATTAAGTACACTTTTTAGGTATCTATACTTTACTTCATTACTTATTTTTCTTCCTACTTCTGACTTCTACTCATTTCATTTTCACACAAGTATCTGTACTTTCTATTCCTTACATTTTTAAAACAAATGTTACTCTTGGCTTCGGTTTAATGTTATAAAATATAATTTCACGTCATGTGTCCCATCCAGTGCAGATCATTGTTGCCATCCACATCTAATGAAAACTAGTGCAATTGGATGAGTCAACGCAAACACTCATTGTCTAACATTGTCTATTCATCAAATTTGTGCTGACGCCAAAGGAAATCATCAGAAGCAAGTAGGTGTTCTTCAAACTGTAAATGTGAATTGTCTATGCCATGCTGCAATGTCGGATTCAGAAAAAGATGTTGAAATGTCTTAAAGGTCGGACACAGGCGAGACGGTATCAGGAGATGGAGATGAAAATCTATTAATTATTTTTTTTTACTCTTATTTTGATTATTTTTAATGATTAAAACATGCTCGAATTTTATAATTTAATGAGGGTTTTTCTTTAAAGTATTTTATTATATTGCTTAAAACAATTAAATGCCTGGAAAGCTCAGCAGGATCCTTATTTACGTGATTATGTTTAATGAAAAGGAAAGCCTTGCAGATGATGTTACAATTATTTTTGCTGATACTGAGGATGATTTTATTGTTATGTTGCATATGGTAGATGTGTGAGATGTCTTACCATTTTCTAAGTTTAGCATATAATGATCAAAAAAACTTGAATCCATGTTTCCTACATAGAAAGATAGATGATAATATTAAAGAGTATTTATCTAAAGACCTTTTTAAAAAAAATACACAACATGTCACATCAAATAAACCAATGCAAGAGTAAAATCTCAACTAACATCCCAAATACACTTTTCACCTTAACAGTATGGTCCAAAAAGTAGGGATAGCAATCAAAAATCAAACCATGTTTGGATTTACCCTAAAATCTGGTTATTGTAAATCTAAGGTGAAAGTCATTTTATAACATAATAAAAAGAATAACTAAACATTTTTTATTATAAATCCATTTCCTGCATATGTTAAGAACAAAACACCATGTAATAAATAGTAACAATTTGTTCACAATTCATAATCTAAAAACAAAAACACAGAATTCAAGGTCCATTTGGGAGCTGGAAAAGTGGTCTTCAATAGCTTCAAATTTTACAGGCCAGCTCCTAATTACCTAAATCAAGCAATGCTATCCAATAATTAGTTTTGTTAATTTGTTGAATTCAGCATAGTATGTCCTCCTTGGATAGACATTATTTAAAAATGGGTCACAAACAATAGTTCTTTTGATAGATGGCCAACGCTCAGCCATTCCCCTCTCTACTTCCTGTCCTCTCACTATCCTACAACCAAAACCTGAATATCCACCAATGAGTATTTGGTAACGTTTTTAGGCCCTCCTCCCTCACTGTGAGTTTTTCAAAATAAGACAAATTAGCCTATAGAGAGACTTCTGATTACAATAGTACATATTCTTACAAAGTGGCACATCTTTAATTGTCTGAGGTTTATTGCCTTTTGTCTTTAAAAACACAGTTTTAATGTATTGTGTTGATTAGGGAGCTCTAGAGGCTGCTGCAGAGACCTTGATTGGTGAATGAGTTCACCCATCTTGGAGGAAATAAAAAGGAAACAGTAGCAGAGACAGGTGAACTATTTTTTGGCTTGACTGCTGTTGTTTGATTGAGCCTTAATTGAATTCAAATTACTTTATTTATATAGCGCCAATTTAAAACACGTCATCTCAAGGCATTTTACCACTTGATTGCATCAACTCATTGACTCAAAGGCAATCCCTCAGACTAAGCATGCTTGTAGCAACAGTGGAGAGGAAAAACTCCCTTTTAACAAGAAGTAACCTCCAGCAGAACCAGGCTCAGTGTGAGCGGCCATCTGCCGAGGCCAACTGGGGTTCAAGGAGACAGAAGCATAGATACAAATGTCAACTTTTAAGGAGGTCCCGTCCAGGAAACACACAGCCAGGAAGACGAGCTCCGAGCCAGCTCCCATGTCAGAGGATGAAGAGAGTACATTCAGCCAGTCACAGTCAGAGAAACAGGACTACACTGAAAACCAGGCCGATCTTGAACATCTATAAACAAAGGTGCTGATGGCAGCATCCTGGAGAGAAATATCAGCTGTGCTGCTTCCATCAACACCCTTGTTTATAGATGTTGGAGATCAGCGTGTTTTCCAGTGCAGTCCTGTTTCTCTGACTGTGACTGGCTGCATGTGCTCTCTTCGTCCTCTGACATGGGAGTTCGCTCGGAGCTCGTCTGCCTGGCTGTGTGTTTCCTAAACGAGGCTGCCTTTTACAGTTGCTTTTTGTATCTCTGCTTCTGTCTCCTGGAACCCCAGTCGGCCTCGGCAGATGGCCGCTCACACTCGGCTTGGTTCTGCTGGTGGTTTCTTCCTCTTAAAAGGGAGTTTTTCTCTCCACTGTCACTACAAGCATGCTTAGTGTGAGGGATTGCATCCGAGTCAATGAGTTGATGCAATCATCTGGATTTCCTTAGATTGAAAACTTTGAATCAATTTGACTGTATGATCTCGTTGAACTGTAAAGTGCCTTGAGATGACTTGGGTTGTGAATTGGCGCTATATGAATAAACTGAATTGAACTTTAAAAAACATATATATTTTGTGCAACATTTGGAGAAATACATAAAAAATGGTTTTGAAATTATACATTTCATTATGAACCTACAAGAAGAGAAAAACTATCTACCTACCAGCCAACAAAAAAATATTTTCATTTTTTTCTCTTTCCAGTGTGCTGATCTTGTACAGTACCAAAATCAAGGCATGTTCATAACACTGACACAAACTGGCGCTATATAAATAAACTGAATTGAACAATACCAGGGACCTGCAAGGATTTTTATTTTCATTACTTTCTAAAAGATTTAGCCTTTTTGTGGACATTAATATCTGGTTATCACAATGTTTGAAGGACCTTTGAGAAAATGATCAATTATGCTGTAAGAAAGTAGTGATCCTGATAATCTTGTGAGGTGTCTTACCTGGTCCATCAAAAGCCATTGGTAGCCATCCTACATAAAAAGAAATAAATAAGTTTAGCAAGCATCTAATCTGAAGACCTTTAAAACATGATTAAAATGTCCATTAGGGACTATAAACAGTACAGTTGAAATAAATCTAAACAGTTTATATGTCACATCAAAAAAACAAGTCCAAAAGTATTATCTTTACTAAAATCTAAATGTAATATTTTACTTTTAGAATATGAACACAAAACTAGTGAAAGCTTATCCTGACATTATAAAGATCATTGGAAATCTTAGGTAAAAAAAAGAGCCATACTTTTGATCTGTAAGGAAGGAATATACAGCAGTAAATAATAATGATTACTTGTATTTAGTAGCCAATATAACTCACTTTAAAAAATGCAAGATCAATTAGATTTTTTTAATTTTGGGATGTCCGTATTTTATATCTTCCTTAGAAAAAAAAATTATACAGGATTAGAGGCCAAACACATTTTTATTGAGATACCTTTAATTATCCTGTTTAGTTATCAGTATTAATACTTTTATTAACACTGAGCTGATGGGCAGTTTTGTGATACTGGTGCAGATCAGGTAGTGACAGCACATGCCCAGTGCTTTTGTCAAAGGTTTAGGTGGGATTTTGCGGCAGTGTCATAATGCCACCAATGGGCCAAGCATATGTATGACAGGGTCTTCACTGGTGCTTGTAGCGACTATCGACCACCTTTCAATCGCTTCTGGGTGCGGGTAATCTTGGTATTAACGTGCTTACAGAATGATGTTCAGTCAGTCTTTGCTGATTTTGTCATAAATTCTTTACCCCCTTGTGAGTATTCCTGTTTTTCAGTATATTTGGTTTTTGAAGATTTATGTTTTTTGGATTTTTGCTTCTTTTACCCTTTTATGTTTAAGTAAATCTTGCAAGAAATCACCTCAGCTTCAGCCTCTGCATTCGGGTCCTGTCAAACCTGACATTGTCTTTTGAAACTCGGCAAGACTCAAAATACCTGTGCCAGCCAACCCAAAGACAGATGCAGAGTCAGACTCGATGATTAAAATGTAAATATATGAAACCTAATACAATTAAACCACAAAAAATAGAGTAAAAAAAAATTATCAAACTTTTTTTTAAATATAGCTTTCAATATATAGACTTTGGCTGTTAACAATATGTGGGAAACAATTTTTCTAAATGATTATTTATCTGCTCGTGAAGGATGATAAGCACTGATGAAGCTGAAAGGGAAACTATCCATCCATCCATCCATCCATCCATCCATCCATCCATCCATCCATCCATCCATCCATCCATCCATCCATCCATCCATCCATCCATCCATCTACTGTTTCATTCACCAATCAGCAATCATATCAGCTTAACAGTTAGGTTTTCTAGGAAACATACTTTGCATAATATTATGTCAGTTAGTTAGTACTTATGTTCCTTAGTACTATGTTAGTTTGTATGATAGTAGTTGGTACTTTTCATTTTCTCATTTTTTTCTAGATGGATGAATAGAAAAAAATCCTGTATACACACCAGGGATACATACTATATCGCTGTTAGCATTGGTATTGGCTGTAATTAGTCATTTTTTAATATATTAATGTTTTTTTTAGCCCCTTTTAAATAATGCAATAGATATAGATATCACTGTATTTGGGTACTCTTGCATTTTTAACAATAGGAAAGCATTCAATAAATATGTTTGGGCTTACTCTTCATAGATTCAAAATCCTAATGAAAGCATTTGGGTCCACCAGCCACCGCCCTTAGAGTGTTCCCACCAACATTCATCACAAAGTTACAATCTTGCACCAGTCGCCCATGAACCCATTCAAGAGCTAGTTAAATGCATCGAAGCAATCAGAGCTTGGATGTACCTTTTTTTTTATTTTCTTTTTCAGCTGAATCACAATCAAACTGAAATATTAGTTTTTGGACCAAAAGAAGGATATTCAAAAGTTAGCACATAGCTTTAGTTAATACAGCTGGGAATCACCAATCAGACTAGAAAACTGGGTTTAGCAATGGACTCAGCCCTAAACCTTAAGAGGCAGAGAGAGTTTCACATATTTGCCTTATCTTAATTACTTGCTTTTATTCCTTTGAAATTTTTTGTGTTTTCTTAATGCCACTCCAATGCACCTTTCATATTTATCTTTTGTTTTTCTCATATACATTACTTTGAATTGTCTTGACACTGAAATGTGCTATATAAATAACCTTTATAACAATTACCTCTTCCTGACTTGATTTTTTTTTCACGACGTCGCAATGTCGGATAAAATCCTATGCAAACAAAGGGTAAATAATGTTAAAATCACATTGCTGAATAAAAAAGTCACAAGAGCAGGCTTTTAACATACCTTTAAAATAAGCTGTAGAGAAAGAAATTGGTAATTATTGGCAGATAACAATTCAGTTTCCAAAATGTAAATATAGACACACATGCAATCCCTCCCCAATTCTGCAAAATAAAGTTAAACTTTTCATCGTCTTTCAAGCTTTTTGTATTACACAATGTAGACTGAATTGTCCTTTTTTGCACATAGGATTTGCTGTTTAGAGTTTAATAAAAACTTGCAGCACTGAACTGGTTAAAGTCCTACCTAAAGAACAGGGACATTTTGTTTATTGTATGTTTCTAATCTTGCTTTTTTCATAAATGCTGAGTAAGAAATCATTTTCCCCAGTATTACCGCCTTCAGGGCATCCCAAAGAATTACTGGGTCTACTTCACCATTAACATTTTCCTCTTTTTATCAGATTATCTCCTCCTTTACTTCACCAACTAGAGCTTTGTTATTTAATATTCCTTCATTTAGTCTCCATAAAGTATTGTTCTTTTTTGCTGTCCAGACGGATCTTAAGATAGATTGCGTTATGATCAGAAACATCTGAAACTCCAATCCTACACTCTTTTACTCTGTGTAGTTCTCTCTTATTCATTAGTATATAGTCAATTCTGGAATAAGTACCATGTGGTATTGAATAATGAGTATAATCTCGATCTAAGGCGTGAAATTCTCTCCACATATCTACAATTGCCGTTTCTGACATCATAGTGTTCATATACCTACTGATTTGTATTTTACTATTTTTATTGCTTGTAGCATCCATATTATAATTTAACACAGTATTAAAATCCCCGCTACATATCAATATTCCCTCTGCTTCCAAGATAATGAGATCAAATATTTTCTTATAAAGTGCTTTGTCACTTTCAGGAGGGGCATATACATTGAGTAGTGTGATTAACTGATTTTCAAATTTGCCCTTTATCATTAAATATCTTCCTTCTTTATCCCCAGTTTCCTGCAACAATTCAAACTTTACTCTATTTAAGATCAATGTCATAACTTCACGTTTATGCCTTTCTTCAAATTAGGAGGAAAATTAGTTTCCATAGCCTAATTTATTGTACTTTCCATGCCGTTTTTTTGTTAGGTGTGTCCTCCTGTAAGAGAATAACTTGTACTTTTTCTTTTCTAAATTTATTTAGGACCTTATCTCTCTTTTTGATATTATTTAAACCATTGACATGACATTCAACATAAAATCTGAACTCCCGACTAAATATGGGCCATACTCCCAAGAGTTCCCCCTGCTGGAAAGGGAGGGGGTGTCCTTTTATGGAGAGACCCCCCCCCCCCCCCCCCCCCCCCCCCCACCCCAGTGGTTTTGGGCAAACCTGTGTTGGGTTCCCCCAACCTGCTAGTGAGTCCAACAGTCCCTTGTTTGGTGGATCTCCCTGTCGTTGTTTAGTCAAACTTTAGAGAAGACTATAGTCTCTCCCATCCCCCTTCTTTAATGGGCAATTAATGCCCCCTTGGACTAATTCGCCGTCTTGTTCAGTCACGTTGTTAATTCTAATGTTGCAGCGCCTGCTGTGTCCTTCCAATTCCGTTAGCTTCTCTTGTAGTTTTCTCTGCTGTTTTAAAAGGTTCAGAATGGCGTTCTTCGCTTCCGTGTTGCACTCTTCCAGCTATGCTATGCGGCCCTGCGCCTCAGTCATGTCCTTTTGTTGTTTCTGTATTTCCGCATCATTCCGTGCCACTATTTTCTTAATTTCTTCTTTAAAGCCCATAAATTCTCGCTTCAGCTCCTCTTTGAACTCATCTTTGAATTTTGTGAGATTCTTCTTCATCTCATTTTGACCTATTTCCTTGAATTAGGGAGGTTTTTTGTTTCTTTGACAAGGGAGCTCGAACTTATGCTGCCATCTTGCTCCGCGTCCACCGGAAGTTCCATTCACAATGTTTTAACCTATTATTGCTCATTATATCTGTAGTGTTTGCATATTGGTTAGATTTCTTAAAAATCCTTTATTGTTAAAATAAGGAAATCATTATTCTAACCTGTAGCAGTTTCAGGTTATTGTACAATGAGTGGTTTATCACTCGGGCCAGATTCCATCTCCTTTTGTTGACATCTGAATGAAAAATTGATAATTTCTTTAGCTCTGCTGATATCCTACGTAAGTTACTAATTTGGTGAGGAAAAAATGGATTTTAACAGCCAGTCCAGAAGCTACCTGGATTGTGAGAGGCAAAAATCCTGGTGAGTAAGTGGATTACGGTTGTAATTACCCAACTAAGAACATTAAACTGTTTTTTCCCTTGGTTTTGAATGATCTATCAATTAACTACAGTTCCCAGTCCCAGTTAATTAAATATTCATTATCTACAGTTAAAATATCACAACACCACAAAAATCACATGTGGTGTGCTCTAAAGGTCCACACTTGTACATTATGATGTCACAAGGTGAGTATTAACCCATCAAAGCATTTGGCAAATGTGTATAAAAAATAATGCATAGATGCAATAAAATTGAGGTATTAATTTTTGGACAACAAAAAAAGAGGGTTCAAAAGTTAGCTTCAGTTATTTCCAGGTTTAAATGACTATTGTCTCAGCGGAACTTTGAAAACTGATCAATGTGTTCATCTTTGCTAGAATTGATTACCACCAGAAGTTTTCAAAGGTCAGTCTAAAAAGCCCATCACACTGCTGCATTTGATCAAGAATGCTTCTGCCTACATCCTCATTAAAACTAAGAAATTGGAGCACATCACCCCAGTTCTAAAATCATTACACCAGCTCCTCGTCTCTCAGAGTACAGACTTTAAATTACTTCAGTAGTCTATAAATCATGATTATAGACCTGTTGTTTGTGTATCAACCCTACAGACCTCTTACAGTAGATCTAATGTCTCAAATCTACTTTGCATTCTTAGAATCAGATAAAAACCTGGAGAAACAGAATTTAGTTATTATGCACCAGTAATCTGAAATACACTTCAAGACATTTAAAAAAATGCTTTAACCCTCAAGTCCCTTTGTCACGGACTTGGTTCTGTTAAGTTTTACTTTGCTCCATGTTTTCTAGTTTTATTGGTTTAATTCCTACTTTGTTGTATTTTCTGGATATATTTGAGTTCTAAGGGTTTCATTTGTTACTCTCTGTTGCTGTATTGTGTTGGTCTTCTTTTCCTAGCTCCTTTCCAGACTGCTCTGTTCACACCTGCTCCCAATCTGCTTGTTAGTACCTCTTTGTTCAGTCTCCCATAAATACACTCCTTGTGCAGTTTCTCAGTGCTGGTTCCTCATCTTACTTTGGCTATGTTCACACTGCAGGCCTTGATGCTCAATTCCGATTTTTTTGCGAAATCCAATTTTTCTAACTATATGAGACTTGTATGTGATCTCCTGTGTGAACTGCAGTCATACAACGCAAGTGTCCCGCGTGTGCAGTAGAGGACGCAATGACGTCACAGGCCAGCGTGCTCTTTTTTTCCGGAAGTAAACATGGATGGTAGTGCCGGCGCGCATCTAGCAGTCTTTTCCAACCATAAAAACACAATCTTTTCAATATGGTTAAACATAAATACAGCTCTCCCCATCATCATCTGCCATGGTTGTTGTTTTTCTTACCGCTTCTACGTAGCAGAAAAGTTGGATCTGGGTCACTTCAGGCTGTAGTGTGAACGTAGCCTTTGTCTTACCTCGTCTTACCCTGGCTCCTCGTAATTGTTTTCCCCTGATGCCTCCATGGTTCTGGTTTCTTTTATATTTTTCATGTTTGATTTCTGGATTCCCGCAAGTTTTACCTGTGTTTATTTAATTAAAGCTACAAAGACTCACCTCCGCATTCGGGTTCTCCAATCATATCCAAATCGTCACACCCTTTAAATAGATATCAATGTGTTCAGTCCATATGTCATTTCATTTTAAATAATTTAATCCTTTATATACATAATGATCTCATTTCAATATTTTTTTTATTTAAATAACTCAAATTAGTTTGTGTTGCCTCAATGTCCCTGCAATGCATTTCTTTTTTTTTCTTTTTTTCTTCTCACCACTTTGAATTGTCCACTTTAAATTGTCTTGGAACTGAAATGTGCTGTATAAAAAACATGCCTTTCCTTGCCTCGCATCTTCCCTTACCGATTGCACTAAGCAGATCGTGTTGGGAGGCCCCAGAAGATCCTAAACAAACAAAGAAAAGATGATGATATAATTACATTGTTTATTCAAAAATCACAAGCAACGTTTATCCTGTACTTTAAAATAAAGTATTGAGAAAGGAATTGCAGCTTATTCACTGGAGACATAGTTTTATCACATTCAAAATTGTATTTCCAGAATTGATACTGCATATGTATATACAGACACTCATGATTCCTCCCTATCTCTGCAAAAAGGTAATATTTTTCTTCATTCATCTTCAGCTCTTTCTTGTCACAAGCTTTTTCATTACACAATGTAGATTAGATTAGTAGTTCTTTAATGCGCATAAGATTAGCTATTTATTGCAGGTTTTTAAGGGTATGGTTAGTGACATTAAGTGGTAAATTATGACTTGAAAGCTAAGGAATTTTTTATACAATGTATGTTCATTTGTTGATCATCCTTTCATTGAAAATAAATCTGGAAGATTAATCCACTGAATGCATTAAAAAAAGAAGACAAAGGAGATGATATTTACTGTAGGTTGATGTGACATGACCTTCTGGCTGCTTTTTTCCTCCCGCACTAGGTTTGTTAAGAACATCTGTGTTCTCCCCCTGTGGCTTGGTGACCACCATGGATGTGAGCGGGGTCACAAAGCTATACTTCAGGGACAGCTCCAAAGCTTCACTCTTCACTTTCACCTTTTCGGGTCCAGATAGCAGCAGCCTGTTTCATAACATCTACAATGTTATCTCTGAGATAAACTGTAGTAAAAACATGAGAGGGGTCTATACTTCATATTTACAATAACTGTACACAGCTTGGTTCTCAGATAAATTCATTAAGGTAATAATTTTTAAAACTTAAATGTATTATCTGTGTCACATATGGTTTTTGTAAACTGCTAGGTGTTCAAAGCACATGGCCACAAACATGAACTGGTTCAGCTAGAAGTTTCAGGAGAAGAGTTCCCCTACGGATACTATGCATGCTTATATAAGGGATTGCTGCAGAATTGACATAAGACTAGAATACCTATGTAGGGATGCATGTAACTAACACTGACCTTGCCTATATGATTATTCTAATTTAATCTTTTAGTAATATATTATACTAGTTAATTTAAATTGGAGTTAGGTAAAAACCAGAACAATATTTAGAATTAGAAACCACAGCTGACTGAAAAAATCTTTCATTTATTTTTTTCAAATCTATAATAAGTCAAAATTATCATTACTAATGATGAGAAACAAACTTAAGTGTATGAATGTAATTGCACACTTACTACCAATTTAACTAAAATGGGCCAAAATAGAGAAGCCTTGTAAACAAATGTGCACAACCAATGTTAAGATAATTTTTTTAGGCTCTAGTGACCTTAATTTGTGCATTTTTAAAAATATGCAGACTGGGAAACAGGATTAGAAACAAGCTTAGGACATGTTGCAAAGGTAACTCCTGTACCACCACCACACCCTATCCCCAACCAGTGTTGTCTAGTTTTGTGAAACACATGTGGCAATAACTTAAATTACTTTTTGCTTTACACTGCTGTATTATTTTTTAATCATGACTACTTAATAACATTCCTTTAGTTTGCTGAGTTTTTAAATTATTTCTTTGTTCTTATTTTTGTGTCATGAGCTTGGCACTGATGACTGGATTATTGGTTCATTTCTTCCACCTGTCAGGACTCCAGTCTGTGTGTTTGTCTTTTTGTGTTGTTCTCCCTTCCACCAGCAGGAGGCGCCTTGTTCTGGTCCGCCTCCTCACACACCTGATGATGGTTGCCTCATTAGCGGAGTGCTCTTAAGCTGCTGATTGCCACTACCTCGACGCCAGTGTTTGCCAGTTTTGGGTACTCTAGCCAAGCTGAGTTTTTGCTGAGTAAGACTGTGTTCTTGTCTACCTGAGTTTTAACTTCTTTTTTGTCTTTGCCTCTCAGCAGGAAGTCTTCCTGCAAACTGGATCTTTTCGGACCTTCTCTCCCTGAAAGAATCAACTGAGCCTCAAACCGAGTTGGGGGTTCAAACAGGAGGTTTGGATCCTTCTTCCTTGAAGAGGACGTTGAGTTACAGTTAGGGCCAGAAATATTTGGACAGTGACACAAGTTTTGTTATTTTAGCTGTTTACAAAAACATGTTCATAAATACAATTATAAATATAATATGGGCTGAAAGTGCACACTCCCAGCTGCAATATGAGAGTTTCCACATCCAAATCGGAGACAGGGTTTAGGAATCATAGCTCTGTAATGCATAGCCTCCTCTTTTTCAAGGGACCAAAAGTAATTGGACAATGGACTCTAAGGGCTGCAATTAACTCAGAAGGCGTCTCCCTCGTTAACCTGTAATCAATTAAGTAGTTAAAAGGTCTGGGGTTGATTCCAGGTGTGTGGTTTTGCATTTGGAAGCTGTTGCTGTGACCAGACAACCTGCGGTCAAAGGAACTCACAATTGAGGTGAAGCAGAACATCCTGAGGCTGAAAAAAAGAACAAATCCATCAGAGAGATAGCAGACATGCTTGGAGTAGCAAAATCAACAGTCGGGTACATTCTGAGAAAAAAGGAATTCACTGGTGAGCTTGGGAACTCAAAAAGGCCTGGGCGTCCACGGAAGACAACGGCGGTGGATGATCGCCGCATACTCTCTTTGGTGAAGAAGAACCCGTTCACAACAACAACCGAAGTCCAGAACACCCTCAGGGAAGTAGGTGTATCTGTCTCTAAGTCAACAGTAAAGAGAAGACTCCATGAAAGTAAATACAAAGGGTTCACATCTAGATGCAAACCATTCATCAATTCCAAAAATAGACAGGCCAGAGTTAAATTTGCCAAAAAACACATCAAGAAGCCAGCCCAGTTCTGGAAAAGTATTCTATGGACAGATGAGACAAAGATCAACCTGTACCAGAATGATGAGAAGAAAAAAGTTTGGAGAAGAAAGGGAACGGCACATGATCCAAGGCACACCACATCCTCTGTAAAACATGGTGGAGGCAACGTGATGGCATGGGCATGCATGGCTTTCAATGGCACTGGGTCACTTGTGTTTATTGATGACATAACAGCAGACATGAGTAGCCGGATGAATTCTGAAGTGTACCGGGATATAATTTCAGCCCAGATTCAACCAAATGCTGCAAAGTTGATCGGACGGCGCTTCACAGTACAGATGGACAATGACCCCAAGCATACAGCCAAAGCTACCCAGGAGTTCATGAGTGCTTGAAAAATTGGAACATTCTGCAATGGCCAAGTCAATCACCAGATCTTAACCCAATTGAGCATGCATTTCACTTGCTCAAATCCAGACTTCAGACGGAAAGACCCACAAACAAGCAAGACCTGAAGACTGCGGCTGTAAAGGCCTGGCAAAGCATTAAGAAGGAGGAAACCCAGCGTTTGGTGATGTCCATGGGTTCCAGACTTAAGGCAGTGATTGCCTCCAAAGGATTCGCAACAAAATATTGAAAAAAAAATATTTTGTTTGGGTTATGTTCATTTGTCCAATTACTTTTGAGCTCCTAAAATGTGGAGTGTTTGTAAAGAAATGTGTACAATTCCTACATTTTCTATCAGATATTTTTGTTCAACCCTTTAAATTAAACGTTACAATCTGCACTTGAATTCTGTTGTAAAGGTTTCATTTCAAATCCAATGCGGTGGCATGCAGAGCCCAACTCGCGAAAAATTTGTTACTGTCCAAATATTTCTGGCCCTAACTGTAACTCTCTGAGCAAGGGAATCATCTCCATTATGAACCGTTCAAGTACCGCAGGAAATCTGAGTGGCAGTCAGTTTCTCCGTTCACCAACAACCATCCGAGTTCTGGGTAAACCCTATTCCGCCCTCCACCGAACCAGAATAACACTGGAAAACAGCACACATTTTGAAGTCAAAGATCCTACAACTCCTCTGGAAACATGAGTGAACCACCAGAGCCTCTTCTCCATATCCACTAGGGGTGGAACGGTTCACAAAATCCATGGTTCGGTTCGATTCACGGTTTCATGGTCACGGTTTTCGGTTCGGTTCGATTCGGTATATGTTGATTGTTACACCGAAATCCCATAAAAATTTATGAATTTGATGAAAAAATCCCCCAAAAAATAATGGATTGTAATTATTTTAAATGATCCGCGGAAACCCTGGATAATTTCCGTATGTTTTGCTGCTTTGAATTTAATCATCTCACGCATGCTCTCTACCATCTCCAAGGGACTCAGAGGGGAGCGGACGGGAGCCACAGTGGGGTCTTGAGCGCAGCGGGCGGAGCGGGGGTTGCTGAAGGAGTATGAGGGATTTCGGGGTTAGCATGATATGGTGCTGTTAGCATAAACAAAACGTGTTGCACAATGCTTGCACACTGTTGCACTTTTATCCACAACTTTCTTTCCGCCGTCATCGTAGGTCACTCTAAATGCAAAGTGGTCCCATACAGCAGACCTATAAAGTGCTGCTGGCGCGTCTTCCAACTCCTGTTCTTTCCCACTCGCCATTCCGACACAATTCTCTACAACAACTGATTTTTTTCTGCTACAGCCGGCTAAGCTGCTTCGCTTCTTCTTCTTCTTGTTTACTACTGGTGGTTGGCTTTGGTCGCAGTACTGCCACCTTCTGCTCTGGAGTGTAAACGCTTCGCTTATGAGAAAAAGGAGCAGCACATGAACCGAACGAATCACACGCGAATCGAACCGAGACAGTCGAACAGAACAGTTCGGACGGTTTTCATAAATCGTCACATCCCTAATATCCACGAATGAAATTTCCCACTTAGCCTGAACTAATCGTCTTGTCTTCCCTTCCCCTTCCAGTTCCGGTCGAGCTGAGTTCTGAGCAACTAAGCACCGAGCCTAACTCTTCAATAAACCTGTTAAACTTTTCATCTGTTTCTCTCTGAATTGGTTTCACTGCATGTGGGTCCGAGCTTTAGATAAAATCATCACACCACCTGTATAGCTCCAACCAGTTTACTTTCTCACTCCTCAGATCCATCTGTTCCAGTTCCTATTTAAACTGTGCCTTCCCAGCCATTAGTTCCAGAGCATTCCAGCCATGTGTGACAGTTCTCTAGCATACCTAGTGAGCAATGATTCGGAAAAGAGGACCCAGTATTCAAGGCGAGACAGATAGTGGAGTAAGTTAAATAACCTGGTTTGACAGTTCAGTCCGTGCCCAGAGAACGAGGATTATTCCAGCTGGTTGGCTGACAAGACGCAGTGGATGCTGCAAGAGAGTTCCAGATGCTGAAACCAAGAAGACTGCAGAACTGGCAGGAGGTCAGATCGAAGGGAGTCCGGAGACAGGTCAGGCAAACAGATCAGACAGGGGCATGCAAAACTAGAAACTAGTCAGGATCAGCTAATCAGAAACACAACTGGGTACACTAGAGAACTCTCACACAATGCTCGAGAATAATCTGCCCCTGATGGTTCGGACCAAGAAGTTTGAATAGGAGCAGTTGGATCATATGAGCAGTGATGAGAAACAGGGCAGAGCTAGACAGGTGAATAGAATGAGTAATTAAGACAGCCCTCAGCTTCAAGATGTGTGTTCTGATTACCATATCCTGACTAGTTTCTGCCCCTGGATGTATGAGTTTTGCTTGATCCCCAGTTCTGATCTGTTTTGCCTGACCTGTCTCGGAACTGCTATTTTGATACTGCCTGCTAACAAGCTGGGATCTGTCTCCCGACCCCGGCTTAAATTTCCCTTCAGTGCCCTTTCAGATTTCTGATCTCGTTGCCAGGAATTCTGCTCCTGCATTGACACTGTCTTTATATTTTCACTCCAGATACTTCTGATCTATTGCTTCTACTGGCTTCTGCTCGTCAGTCAGCTCTGCTTCACTCCTGGAACTCTCTGTGCGGCTCCCACCGCATGCTGTGGAGAATTCATCTGGCTGGATTCCACTACTTCCTCTTGGCTCGGACTGAACTTAAAAGCAGATTTTACATTTTTCTGAGCAGTAAATAAAGACTTTGTTTGAAATCACTCTGATCTGTCTGCCTGAATTCTAGGTCCTACACTCCGTGCCCTGACATTTTGACTTCATGGTTTACAATGTAGATAAGTTAATTTTCAGGGCGAAGAAAGTATGGTCCCTACATCTTCTTGCTTACAAGTCAAAGTTATTACAGAATTTTGGTGAAACACAAAATAAAACAAAAAAAACACCCATGCCATTGTAGACAGCTGGTTTTTTTAATATATTAAGTATATTTTTGTGACATTTTGTGTTGTCTTTGCATGAATAGATTGATGCCGTGCTTGCTTTGTCTGTTATGGAAAAATCTCCATTTTTACCACCTCTACCTAAAGGACAATTACCAAGCACTTCTTTTAAAAAGTATTGTCCTGTCATATACTTTTTTATACATTTTGCGAGGTAATAAATCCAGCAAGAGAGCTTTCTAGTTTTTTGTTTTTTTGTAATTCTACTGTTATTAATTATATTTGACATGCCATTTCAGGCCTCTGTAGTCTGATAAGCTCTTGGATGTCTTGCTCTGCTATGCAAGGAGTTTTTATTTTCTTTCTGATTTTAATGCTGTGGTAAAGCCTTATATGAGAAGTGGTAACCTTGAAAGCCAGAATCATAATCAGGTTTAGCCCTAATCAATGTGGGACGCTCCCATAATCTGTTTGGGGAAAGGAGGGCTGTCCTGTTCAGAGAGAATTTTCCAAGTGACATCTAGTGCCTGCTTACCAAAGGGTTTTTAGTGAATCACTATAATAGGAGCAGAAGCCATGAGAAACCACACCAACTTCAGATTATGAGATCTTTCTGCTCCTCTTTCGAAAATGGTTACAGGTAAAATTAATGTGATAGCAGCCGCTATGCGTATGTCCTTCTGTGCTGCCATGTTTATTTTGTTTCAGCTGTGAACTCAGTAGCTCTTGATTTTCCCACAGCTAAATGTCTCGCTTTAAACCATAATAATGCATTGCGATTGGGTGACCTGTTTTGGTTTGGACTTGAATGACTTAAACTGGAGCGGTATAAGGTGAATTCCGGTGTGTTTGTGAACCAAAATACTGCCACGATTTAGCTTGCAGACAGTGTTAGCAAAGAAGGCTTAATGGTTAATTTTATTCAAGCAAACTCACTCTGCTAATGCAATGTTGATAACAAACTGTTAAGACTAAAATATTTTGTAGCCCTACTAAATTAGCAGCTAAAATTATTTTCTAGACATTTTTTCTCCGACATGAAAATAGGTAGCCATTGCACAATAGAGGGAGTGTTGGCCTAGCGGTTAGAGCAGTGTGCTTGTGCTCTTAGAAGGATGACCTCACGGTAACTACTACATCAGTGCCTGGGTGCAGATGGTTTGCTGCAAGGCCTGGATAGACTCATCTCTTGGGCAAGGATGAGTTTCAAGCCTGGGAAGTCCAGATCCCTGGTCTTGCGGAAAGGGAAGGTGACGGACCGCTTCCGCTTCAGCCTGGGAAATACCACTATTCCATCTGTGTCTGAAAAACCAGTGAAGAGTCTTGGAAAGCTCTTCACTGGTGATCTGAAGGACACCGCTGCCAGAAAGCAACCAGCACCAACCTTAAGCAGTGGCTCCTAGCTGTTGACAAGTCTGGACTTCCTGGGAAGTTCAAGGCTTGGATCTATCAGCACAACATCCTGCCCCGTCTCCTCTGGCCTTTGCTGATGTATGAGATCCCACTTACGACCGTGGAGGGCTTTGAGAGGAAGATCAGTCAGTACCTGCGCAGGTGGCTGGGCTTGCCTCGCAGTCTGAGCAGTATTGCCCTGTTTGGACATGGGACCAAGCTCACGCTCCCGTTGAGCAGCGTGTCAGAGGAGTTCAAGGTTGCCCGGGCTAGAGAAGTCCTTCTCTACAGAGACTCCACTGATGGGAAGGTGTCTTCAGCAGGGATAGAGGTCCGCACTGGAAGGAAGTGGCGTGCCAAGGACGCAGTGGAAAGAGCCGAGGCGAGGCTGCGTCACAGCACCATGGTGGGTACAGTGGCCACAGGGCGGGCAGGGCTGGGCAGCAACCCGAAGCCCTGCTACAACAGAGTGACAGGGAAGGACAGGCGTAAACTCATCCAAGAGGAGGTTCGGGCAGAGGTGGAAGAAGCTCGCTTCAGCAGGGTGGTGGGCATGAGCAAGCAGGGGGCCTGGACCAAGTGGGAGCATGTTTCCAGCCGTAAGATCACCTGGACTGATATATGGAGGGCGGAGCCACATCATTTCAGGTTCCTCGTCCAAGCGGTGTATGATGTCCTCCCAAGCCCCACTAACCTGTTCACCTGGGGCCTGATAGAATCACCTGCGTGTCAGCTCTGCCAGAGGAAAGGGTCTCTTGAGCACATCCTAAGCTGCTGCCCAAAGGCCCTGGGAGATGGCAGATTACCGCTGGCGCCATGACCAGGTCCTGCGGGCAATAGCAGATACCATCTGCACTGGCATAAACACCAGCAAGAGTCAACCTCTAAGCAGGAGCATGATTGCCTTTGTTCGAGCAGGGGAGAAACTGCAACCCTCCAAGAAGACCCAAGGGGGCCTGCTCACGACAGCAAGGGACTGGCAGCTCTTGGTCGATCTGGGGAGGCAGTTGAGATTCCCGGATTACATCGCAGCCACGACACTCCGCCCGGACATGGTGCTGTCATCAACTTCCACCAGGCAGGTTTTGCTGCTTGAACTAACTGTTCCTTGGGAGGACAGAATAGAGGAAGCCCAGGAGAGGAAGAGGGCTAATTACACAGAACTTGTGGCTGAGTGCCGGAGGAATGGCTGGAAGGCCCGCTGTGAGCCTATTGAAGTGGGCTGCAGGGGCTTCGCAGGCAGATCTCTACACTGTGTCCTTGGACTCCTAGGGATTTGCGGTCTGCAGAGACGAAGAGCAACCAAGAACATCTTGGAAGCAGCTGAAAAGGCTTCACGGTGGCTCTGGTTGAGGAGGGGGGAGGCGTGGCGTAGTGCGCTACCTGGACACAAGTCGGGGAACTGATCACCCCCGGCTGGGTCGCCCAAGTGAGGGTGTATGACTAAGACCCGAAACACCCAGTGATCTCGGGAGAGTCACTGAAGATGTGTCCAGGTTGCACCACTAGGTGTATTACAATCCCAAGTACACGGTTCGATCCCCACAGCCTGCACTCTGTGTCCCTGAGCAAGACCTGTAACCCCACAGTTAAGACAGAACACCGCAGCCCACTGCTCCCAAAGGGGATGAATTAAATGCAGAGGCAAATTTCTCCAATGTGAGATTAATAAACTTCAATTATTATTATTATTATTATTATTTTTAATTGCAATGTTAACCTGAACATTTTTTTGAGACTTTTATAAAAATCATGCATTCAAAATTATATATTCCCTGCCGAATAATCAAGGAGAAATTTTGGACAGACAGAACTTGTAGGGTTAAGGGTCTTGCTCAGAAACTCAGAGTGCTAGCTGTGGGGATCGAATCGGGTACTTACAACCTTCTCAGAGCAGAAGCGCACTGCTCTAACCACCAGGCCAACACACACTTTGATTTTTTTTTTTTTTTTACTGAAATATTATCTTTCAATCTGGAAGCTAGGTCAATTATTTTAATTCACAGATGTCCAAATAGCAATACATGTTGCTAAAAAATAATTTTATGTTTTTAAATTTGAATATGCATGGCAACAAAAAAGCCCTTCTCTTACCATTATTAAGTTTTACTACGATTAGAAAATAACTGCATATGTAGGATATGCATAACTTTTGGTATTCATGGTGATGCAGATGCAGAGCAAAATTGTACAAATGGTGTTCAGAATATAAGGTAAATGTCAGGTAAAGAAAATATAATTTTAAACAAAAACCCTTTATAGAGCCATATATTGTAATTTCAGCTGACAATTACATAAATTATGATAATAAAACAAAGAAATAGAAATGACACATATTTGTATCTTACTCTTTCTCCAAAAGTTGTTTAACAGTGAGGTAGGCCCAGACCCTCTGAAGAAGTCCACCATTTACTGTTCCAGTTGAAGTATCCACGGAGTCATTTTTTTGAGAGAATATTACTTTTCTATTGCTCTGTCAAAATGAAAATAGAAATTAATTCCAGTGCAAAAAAGAAAAAAAAAAGAAAAAGTAGTACTATTTTTATTTTGTGGTTTGATTCTTACTGAGATGGCCACAACTTGTGGCACAAATGTTTCAATGTTGTTGTCAATGAGCTCACCAGCCACCACAAGCTCAGAGCCGTTATAATACTGACTGAAATTTGTCTGCGTCAGATTGGTTGCACCGGCATATACCATTATCACATCTTTGAGGAGAGGAGTGGCCACCTCTTCATAGAAACCCTGTGGGTATAAAGTATTGCTTGCTATTTTCTGTATTTGCTTTTCTGTGATGCTTCATTTTTTTGTTAAAAGTCAGGAAATTGGTTGATCAAACGTTATTGTTAAAATGGATAGGAATACCTTGAGCTGTAAATCAGCATCAGAGTCTTCATAAATCCGTCTTGCTACACCACTGTTTTTCAATGACATCTTCTCCAAGAACTCAAAGTTGACATCAAAACCAAAACCAAGGCAGTAGAGTGGAAATGCTCCTGCAATCGCCTGTCTCACATTTGTTTGTATTTTCTCAATATTTGTTACTCCTATAATGACACATGAAATACAGACTGAGATCAGTTTATAACTGTAATAAAATTAGACAGCTGCCAAAAATGTTAAAAAGTACACACACACACACACACACACACACACACACACACACACCCCCCACACACACACACACACACACACATACGTACATCAGTATATATATCTTAAAACTTTCAAAATACCAAGACCAATGATCACTGAAGTGTGATGGTACATGGTCAACATTGTATGTAATTTAAAACAAAACTATGGATTTTCCTTCTTGAGAGTATTACTTTTAACAACTTGGACACTTCAAGACAGGGCTCTGGTTTTTTATGCTTTTAATTTTATTTTTTAAAGCAAGTTATCATTTGCTCTTGATGTTGTTGGAGATTTTTTCTTTTATTCTATTTTCTGCTCTAAATAACTCATATACCTGTTTATTTCTGTATCTGTTCACTTTCTGTGTCAGTCAGCCAATTGGACATTTTTATGTTGGCATACCAGAATATCAAAGAGGCTCTAGCATCACCTTATATGGTAATGCTGTGGTGTTGTGTGAAAAGGGCTGGAATGGGGCTTTGGGGGAACGAAACCCCTGGTATCCTTTTGGATAAACTAAAAAGCATGTTGAAGCTCTCAGTCTTTTTGCTGGTTCCTCAGCTGAATGTTAAAGATGTATTAAGTCCTGAGATAGAAGGTGAGATCTTTCTCTGCAATCTGTGCTTATATATGATTTTGTTAGCCATGACTTGAATAAATTCTGTTAATGTTTCCTTCTTTCTATATATATATATATATATATATATATATATATAATTTTTTTTTTTAAATACAGCATGATTGTAAGGAAAGATACAAAAACTAATTTTGAACTATTAATAATTTTTTTTAGGTTGTTGTCTCATGTTCGAGTGCATGCATGTGAGCTTTGAATAACCTGATGTTGGTTCTCCATCTGTGAGAAGTATAAGGATGGAAGCTGAACCTTCTCTGGGATTTACATTCAACATACGTGCCCCTTCCAACAATGCTGAATTGATGTTTGTACCTAGAACAGGCGGAAAAAAATTATCTGCCGTCCTGCTAAGAAATATTTTAATTTTCCTTTCAACAAATCTCACCTCCCTGTGCACTTATATCCTGTGCAAATTGCTTGGCTCCCTGCAGATTTAGACTCGTGGCCTGAACAAGTTCTCTTTTCCAGAAAAAAATTTTACTATGAAAAGTGATGATACCAAAGAAGTCATCCTCTGCCAGGTCATTCAGAATGTGGATTAAAGCTGTTCTGGTCTGTGCACACATTAACAGAAGTGTTATTGTAGGAAACAATCAAACTAAATTTGTTTTGGATATACGACAACTTTTATTAAGAAAGCATTCACATAAAGGTATAGAGGACGATCTTTTGTTTCCGGATGGATCATCTAAATAAGTGCTCCTCCTAACTGTCAGTCATTCTGGTGGTATGTTTACGTAAGGCCGTCCTTCATGGGCCGTTAGCTGTCTTTTTGTGTGCATGCACACTTTCGGGCTGTGGTGAGCACGAGGTTCAGACAGTCATTGAAGCTCATCTTTCTTACCATGGTTCTTTGAAAATGGCCAAGGATCGTAAGAGAAAAAGTGTTTACGAAGTGTATGACAAGCAAAGAAAGGCCCCAGAAGAGCCAGATATATCCCGGAATGATTTGCACAGAGAGCTCTTCTTGCAAAGCATTATGGGATTTGCTGTCACACCGGCCTATTTGCTGTCTCTACCCGACAGCGGTGACTAATAACAAAGGAGGAGTTACCTGACCAATGGGGAGCAAAAAGCAGTGATCATCGGTCCGAATGGTAGGTTAACTGAGTTTGCTATAAAGTCCACTAGGTCTCCGCTCTATATAGTGATTGAGGGATTTAGGGGTTAGGTTGGACGTTCGGGCACAGGAAGCTTGTATGAGCTATGAGAACAGCAACTTTTAAAAGCCTATTAACGCAGCTTTTAAATGCCTATTAGTAGGCGTTTCCTCTCAGAAGGGGGTACAGGGTTGTCTATGTGCATTTTTTTAAAGTTGAGAGGGCGATTCTTATAATAAAATCGTGAAATTCATCCACAATATCTTCAAACTTCAGATTCAAGATATTCCTCTTAAACTTTTCAAAAATTTTTACCTGTTGTATTTTTCTGCCACTCATTGAGCCACTTTTATCAGTAACAAAGACGACATTCTTGGGTATTCTGGCAAGGTTAGATAGAGCAAAGTGATGGACAAAGTATCCATCCGAAGTCTTAAAGGAAAGAAGAACTACATGTTAATGAGGGATCAAAATATGATTTTCAAGATAGTAGGTATTTTTGGCCATTTTTCAAACAACATATTCATAAATATGCTGCTAATAGGCAGCTATTATTTTCAGGAGTGTTTTACCTTGATATCACCCAGCCCATTGTCTCGATTGACGTCATATGAAATGACCAGATCTCCATTCATACCTTGCTCTCCACAGCTGTCGCAGGCTCTTTGTTGGTCTTCTGTAGGATAGAAATATACCCATGCCTGAAATATAGAAAAGTGGGTTTTATATATTGCACAGTAAAAGATTTTGCTTTTTATTTGTGTTTTTATAGTATTTTTACATTTGCACATTTTTAAGTGCTTTGGATATTAGCTTCCACTTACTTCCTAATGCATACTGGAGAACTAGTAGTTGTTATGTTGTACCCCTAATTTTTTTGGTCAAAAAGGTTATTTTTTTCCCAGACAATTTGTTGTGAGTACGTTTTGGGGATTTAAACAAATCCTTGGTATATTGTACTGTATACACTTTACAGTACAGTATTTTATTGTTTAAACTTTAACCCTTCACTATTATGTTATTCTTATGCATTTTTCTAAGGTCCACATTTGTGTGACCATTTTTTCTGTAATATTTTTGCTTTTATAAATACCAGAATTTTCCCATTGTGGGACAATGAAGGGATTTTCTATTCTACTATATTCTGTATGGGTCTTTTTTACAATAAAAGTCTTTTAATAAAAAAAAAAAAAAAAAACGACAGACAGTCATGAAGAGGACAGAAAACAGATCCGATTTGGCTTTGGAAGAGTTATAACAACGTCGCAGCAATTTTATTCCCATAATTCAAGTTAAAAATGGTGAATAATTTGCATACACTCCACAATTCATGTTGGGACTGCTTGAACCTCCCATATTGCCACAGTTAAGGCTCTCATTTCAAGAAACTGCCTTCCATTGAGTGTTTCCTTGCTGAGCCTGGTAATAACTCTTAAGATCTGCTTATAAAAATCAGAGAAGATATAATACTACTTGTATAGCATATTGCCATTTAAGCCAATTGGTAATGAGATAAAAAAAAAAAAAAGTGAGCCAGGAATAGACCTATCCAGGGTGTACCCCGCCTCTCACCCATTGACTGCTAGAGATAGGCAACAGCACCCCTCGCGACCCCACTCGGGCCAAGCGTGTCAGATAATGGATGGATGGATGGATGGATGGATGGATGGATGGATGGATGGATGGATGGATGGATGGATGGATGGATGGATGGATGGATGGATGGATGGATGGATGGATGGATGGATGGATGGAAAACATTGTGTCATGTTTTATTTTATTGTGCAAATCTTTTTCTATTATTCTGTGAGGCCAGAAAATTGGTAACTATATATTTTTTAACTGTTGCTTCCCCATTTTATTACAAAATCAGGACTCAAGCCTGATTCGGAAAGGAGAAGTTATAAGAGGGGGTTGGAGAAAAAATATCTGTTAAATAATTAATGCATTAAAACATGTAAATTTCTAGTGCTATATCATACAACAGTAAAGAGTAATATACTATGTTATTTAAAATAAAAAAATGTTGGCTTGCAAACAATGTTCCCTGTATTTTTCATGTGTCTTGGTGAACATACAGATTTTTTAAGTGATTTGGTCCATTTAAAATAAATAAAGTAAAAAGATCCAACAACAACTTATTCATGACATGTGTAGTATGCTGTATGTAAGAGTCCAGCTTTGGCCATGTTTCTGATCTGGAAGAACTGAGACATACTTTTCAGACATAGCTTTTGTTCACATTAAAAACATTTACATTTTGCACTATGATATGTGCTGAAGCTTGCGTTACAGTATAAATTCCTATAACTCAGTGTCTAGAGTAACTAAATTGTTAGAAATATTTTATTTATATTCCGTTTGTGTTTCATGGGTTGTGTACTAATGAACTATTATGATGTATAATGTGTGATTCATCGTTTGTTAACTCTTGCTAAAGATCGTTCCAGATAAAGGTCATGCAACAGACGGGTTGTGAAAGAGGCCTGAACATAATCTATCTTGGAACAATATAATTGTAAAACAACCACATGCTTTGTTTTAACATATGTGCTGAGGTTTAAAGTAAGATAATTTTGTTTCCCTTTCCCTTAGTTAAACCTCAGCTTGTGTAATTAGGGACATCCCCTGACTTCAATAAATAGCGAGGAGAAAGTTGAAGACCAGCAGAGTGGGTTGGAGATTTGTAAACTCCACAGCCTCTTCCTACTCTCTTCACGAGTAAACTAAATTAATTGTCTATGTGCCTTCTTTCTTTCCCTGTATGTATGTATGATGTTTTAGGTGCTTAGACCTGACATAAATATATATAAAAAAATATCTGCATTAGATATAAGTTGTATGTTTTCTTTAAATAAGGGCCAATTAGAACTCCCCCCACCCAACATGAAATGGTTTGAAAAGGACAACGCCGGGCTGCAACTTTTAAAGTTAATTTCGCTGCAAATCGCTGCGAATTTGAGGTTTTCAGAAGTCCAGTGTTTGGTGTAGCGGGGGGGCCAAAAAGACTGTGTTGTGGCCCCAGCAAAGCTGTCAGCTGGCCTGCCTGTAACTATTCGTTTACAGTTTTTTTTCTGCATTTCTACTAGTATAGCATTTCATGTTTATTATCCATAAATAAGACATTTTATTAAATGTCACTATAATATAAACAAATCTGAGTGCAATTTAATCTATTTTTACATTTGTACTTCTCACTTCTCCGTTTTCCCAAATAAGCCACTTTAAGAGCTTTTTGGATGCTGTTTTGATAGGATTTATTAATCTATATCTTCTTTCACAATAATCGCAGGATGCTGCCATGTAGCAAAAAATCCACAAGCTGTGAGATCTCCTTTAGCTCCTTTCATCTAAGTACTTCCAAGGCACCTACCTGGGAATGTCCTGATAAACAGTTAACATTTTTGCTTCATTATATACATTTTAAAAAGTGTGTCTTAAACTGTGAGCATGTTGGATAGCAGAGCTGTTACAAATGGGTGAGCTTTGTTGCTCTGGAAGCTTAGACTGGTAAATAATTTTGGTATTTGGGGTATTTGGTAATTGGGGATTATTCTTCCACCTGTTGGATTATTTATTTATGCACCTGTAGCAGTTTTTGATGTGCTGAATAAAAATATTTGCTGAACTTTTTTTAAAGGACAATGTTTTATTAAACATATATTAATCTAACTACAATACTTAAATGTAACTTCTTTTATTTTACAACTTAATTAATAGTGGTATACAAGAATGGCATTGAAGAGTAGCTATATTATGTGCCAGAAAAACTATGTTTTGTGGATTCAATAAAGCCAGCTTACACATCCAGCTGGCTGAGATGTTGTAAGAGCCCAAATTAAATAATGAATAAAGAAGATGAATGTATTCCCTGTACACTTTTATCATTATTATTATTATTGTATTTAACATGTTTATGGCAAGCAAAAACTTTTCTTAGTTTCTCCATTTTGTCCGTCTAATTGATTTACATTTTATATTGGATTTTATTTTATGTGCTGTATAAATTTTCTTGTTAGCTGAGAATGTTGCAGAGTGCAATTGTGTGAGCAGTGCGCACTTGTGCAAGCGCGCAGTTTAGAGGGAACACTGGTTGCAAGTTTGTTAACTGTAAAAAAGAAGAAAAAAAACACATTGAAACCAACTGTACCTGTTTGTCTGCAAGGGTTTTGGTGATGGCATTGGCCAAAGCTTTGGTGCTAAGTCCTCCTTTCACACCAATGTAACTGATGCCTGCTTTTTCATGAATATACACATCAACCTGATTGTGAGTAAAATAAAACAAACCAGCCAGTTAGAAACATCTGTCTTCACAGGACACATCACACAACAAGATGTTCAGAACAATCTAAAAACCTTGAAGTCTTTCACAGGCTGCATGGGTTGAGCATGGATTAGTAGCTCGTATTTTCCATGGGTGCGTTTCAGCAGTTCCTCATAAGTGAGTTCAAAGGTGATCTTTTTGTGGGCTGCCACAGTTACAGAGGTTTTAAATTCCTCCATGGTTCTCCCCACAGAGCTACATGGGGAAATTTGTATTATTTAATGAAGTCATAAGCTTTTGTTTGGAATATGTTTAAGTTTAGTTATAACGCAATATGTAAATGTCTTTTGCATGTAGACAAAAAAAAGGACTGTAAAAAAAACAAGAAACTTATATTTCAGTGAATTAAGCAGTCATTACCTTACAATACCAGCACTCTGACCACGGGACACAGCCTGATTGTACTGCTGCTGAGCCTGCTCCTTGGTTTTCACAACTCAATCATATATTTGACCGTCAATATTCCTGAAGAAGGAGGAAGGGTTTTTTTTGTTTTGTTTTGTTTTTTTCAAATTATGGTTAACCCGGGTTTATCAGAAATAAATAGAAAAACAAATAAATTGTAAGCATAGTAAAAAAATCAGACATATCCAGGTATATTTTTCTTCCACTCACATTTTAAATTTACTGATGAAGGCATTTTTTGGAATCTGGACATGGAATTCAATTTCTTTTGATTCATTCATGCGATTTATAACACGGCTTGTTATAACAGTGGTAGCATAACGACTGGTCACATTGGAGGAGATATGAAATCTGTATATATCCCAGTCATCCTGTGTAAACACAAAGAAAACAAAAAAAAGATTAAGGACTTCTTCCAAACAATCAACACAGCAAACTTTGAGAATTTGTACTGCCAAACTTCAGAATTATTTCGTATGAAATAATTTACATTTTGAAGTTCTATTTGTAAGATTACATACAATGTATATTGTGCCTAGAATGAAATTGAGTTGAGAGAGCAGAGCTAAAATAGTGAACAATAAAAATCCTCTGACTGAAAAAAAACCCTTGAAAAGTTTACATTTAATATTAAATGAAATCCCTATTCTTTGGCGTAAATATATATATATATATATATATATATATATATATATATATATATATATATATATATATATATATATATATATATATATATATATATATATATATATATATATATATATATATATATATATATATATATATATATATAATTTGGATTCACAATCAATTATTCCTTAACTGCTGCTCAAGTTGAGTTCAAAGTCTTGTAAAGCAAGATCTGCAGGTTTACTTGTGGTTCCTAGAATTTCTAAAAGCTGAATGGATATATAGATGCTGGAGATAAGCCTGTTTTTCAGTGTTGTCCTGTTGCTCTGACTGTAACTGGCTGGATGTGTTCTCTTCATCCTCTGAAATGGGAGTTGGCTTGGAGCTTGTCTGCCTGGCTGTATGTTTCCTGGACGGGGCCGCCTTTTGCAGTTGCTTTTTGTATCTCTGCTTCTGTCTCCTTGAACCCCAGTCGGCCTCCGCAGATAGCCGCTCACACTGAGCCTGGTTCTGCTGGAGGTTTCCTCCTGTTAAAAGGGATTTTTTCCTTTCCACTGTCACTACAAGCATGCAAGGGATTGCATTCGAGTCAATGAGTCGATGCAATCAAGTGGTTTTCCTTAGATAGAAACCTTTGTATCAATTTGACTGTATGATCTGGTGAACTGTCAAGTGCCTTGAGGTGACATGTGTTGTGAATTGGTGGTATATAAAAAAAAACTAAATAAGACTATTACATTCTCTCCAAGTGTCTAAGGACTGCAGACCCTTTACTAGACAAATCCACAGATGCAATCCTCACCCCACTGTGCTTGGGGACAAAAGCAACTGCTATATCAAGGGAAGGCAACATAAGTCTTTAAGTACCACCCCCTGTAGCATTTGCATGTATTTCTTCTTCAACACACCTGAACAAAATATATGGTTCATTGCCAGGCCTCTGATAAACTTACTGACGTGCAAAGGGGGTCATTTGTATGGAAGATTTTCCCTGCCAAAATCCAAGAGCCATTTGGAATCAATTTGAGATGAGGATTTAAACTACTTGTACTCAAAACATGTAATGCTCACATTCAAAACTTCTGCCTTTAGATATATTCTCTTCTCCATCAAATCTTGCTTTCTGCTCCTATAGATCTAATGCTTCTTGCACAGATATATTTTCTCCTCTTGTTTACTTAATTCCCCTCCTGCACAAACGAGTCATTTCTTGGCTATATACTCATATATATATATATATATATATATATATATATATATATATATATATATATATATATATATATATATATATATATATATATATATATATATATATATATATATATATATATATATATATATATATATCTCAGGCTGGATTCAAATCATCACTTAGCAACCTTTCCAAGGGCAGCCTCAGAAAGGGTGCACTTGCTTTCTTCTACTGACTTTGCCTGCTACTGCTTACCAGTTCTAAAAATGTGGGCCAAACTCCAGCAATGCAACTTACTGCCTGACACTTTTGGTTACCAAGATTAAGCCACTGTATTTAAAGCGATTAGCTCCAGATAAACAATCTGACCTTTGTTCTGCAACATTGTAATAAAGAAAAACATGTCCGAGAAGTAAAAATAAACACCCATCCGTTTAAAGTAAACAGTGATGTCCTCAGCCAGGTTTGTTCTTGCACAGTAAAAACAAATTTGAACCCTGTCTGACTGATCTTTGAACTGTTGTTTGGATATTTCACAGGGCAGTTTTTTTTACTTAACAAATATATTGATGTGTACTTTTTTTTTCTCACATTTATATAGGACCTAAACTGATATAAATACATTTCTATTTTACATTATCAGCAAATCATAAATACTTATAAAAACAAAATTTTCCTTATAACTAGAATAAGTTGTTTGAAATAACACATGTAACCACAACACCCTTACAGTAATTATTTAGTAAGGCACACATTTTATGATTATCTGAAAATTTGGAGGTGATCAGGAAAAAAATGCAAAATTTTTTTTTATTTTTTTATAATGCTTATCAGTGTTTTTAAAAATTTGTTAGTGAGCTCCTTCATGAATGTAATATTTTATGTAAAGTTTTTTTTGCATTATATACCTTTTTCTTCTAGATTTAGTAGTTAACATTTACAGGTTACAGCATTCCCTACCACAAAAAACACACCTTTTTAGAAGGGGAAAAAAGAACAACGAATCATACTTGGATCTCGGTTGGTCATTTGGGCATGTTTTTGTTAAAATCTATTGCTCATGAGAATATTGACTTATGTCTGTATTATTTTGTTTTTGTTTTTTTGTTTAGTAGATACGTTTTATATATATTTAGCAATGGAGGCATTGAATGATTATGTTGCCTGGATATTCCTTCAAAAATAAAATTATTATTTAGTATGGTTCATTTCAAATGAAGTAACCGATAGTATGGTTCATTTCAAATGAAGTAACCGATTAGTTAAAAACTGTTAGAACATGTCAGACACATATTACCACACTCTCTAAGTACTCATAGCACAACATTTCTCCATGTTAAAGAGTTTTGGTTTGCTTTAAAAATCACCTAATCTAATTTCACATGTTCCAATGTTAGCTTTACAAACTTGACAATTTAAAAACATGTGCACAGTTTGAGTTCAGTTTGTAAACACAGACAAGCATAAGCATGTCATTTTTTTTTAACACAAAGTTATCTAGTTAATTAAATGTTTAAATTTTCAGTGCAAGTGTTGTGAGAATGTACCTTTTTTGGTTGCGCAGTAGCCAAAGCCACAACAATCCCAAAAAGGGAGAGTAGCATCACTGCTTTCCCCATGAAGCCTAGGATTTGATTCAAACAGATGCCACTGTCTGAATTCCAACTCAGCATGTACAATGTAAGTTTGTTTTGAAGAAACTTATTTTAGACTCCTCCCTCTCACTCCCATTAATCTGTAAAAAAAAAAAAAAAAAAAAATGACAACCTACAACATCAGTTCCACCTTTTTTTAGACCATCGGCCTTTATTTGAATCTGAGCAGAGAGGAGGGTTGAAATTGAGGGGGTAGACATGCAAGAAAGGTAAAAATGATGAGGACCCTAACCCATGAGAGCTACGTTGAGGACTAGAGCCTTCTTAAAGGGTTAACTGAGTTGTGGGGGAAAAAAAATCAAAAATCAATTGATTGTCCTGGTAGACAAGGCGGAATGCAAGTCTTATCTTATTGACTCCTCTGAAGCTGTTTTCCCAGTTTTAGATGTTTTTGTAATAGCCTAGACACCCTTAGACTCAAGGTTATTTCAACAAATACTTTGGTTTGTGAGGAATTAACTATGTGAGAAACTGTCAATTTTGTCTCTTTCTGTGCTTCTTAAGTTGTTGGTGAAATCCTGTGTTACCAGAGCAGGGCAGAACACGGAGCTGTGTATTATGATCTGTCTTGAGCTCAAGTGTACAAAGATAAAACAAAGTGCTGACTGAATGAATAACTATCTATCTCCTTTAATTAACAGGAGTGCATAGTTAGGGTTAAGCATTAAGTGTGGTCCATTCCTCTGACATCACAATCTATGGGAGAACTGTTTTTAAACCACAGTCTGAGAAGTTAATTTCCTCCTCCATCTAACTCCATGAAAGTAAAGACCCCAATATTTTACATGTACATCAAGCTCCACATTGTGGAAACTCTTGAGCTGTGGTCTGACTTTGCTGGTGGTTGCATCGCACTCCTCGAAGAAGCCCTAAGCTAAAAACATTAAAAAGCATTACCTGTTGCTGGTACTGTACCATCCATTGTTTTTAACAGATGTGGAGACAGCAATATCTGCCTGTCAATCAACCGGAATAGCACAAAGTTCTGTCCTGGCCATCTGGAGTGTTTTCCTGCCCTCTGCTGAGTTGGCGCTGTTTACCTGAAGCAGCAACCAAGTTACTGTTCTGTATGAGGTGCCCCCAGGGACATAAATCAGAATTAACTTGCATATACACATATTAAATTACACTCTTCCATATAATATACTGAAAACCTCACACAAACACTAGTAAAAAGCTCTCATATAAACTAGTGAAAACATTGACCTCTTATATAATCTACTCAAAAGCTCTCATACAAAGTAGTGAGAACTGTTCATATAAACTGGTGAAAAGCTTTACCTTTCATACACACTACTAGAAAGCTTTCATATACACTATTAAAAAGCTCTCATATACACTACTAGAACGCTCTCATATACACTATTAGAAAGCTCTCATATACACTATTAGAAAGCTCTCATATACACTATTAGAACGCTCTCATAAACACTATTAGAACGCTCTCATATACACTATTAGAAAGCTCTCATATACACTATTAGAACGCTCTCATATACACTACTAGAACGCTCTCATATACACTATTAGAACGCTCTCATAAACACTATTAGAAAGCTCTCATATACACTATTAGAACGCTCTCATATACACTATTAGAAAGCTCTCATATACACTATTAGAACGCTCTCATATACACTATTAGAACGCTCTCATATACACTATTAGAACGCTCTCATATACACTATTAGAACGCTCTCATATACACTACTAGAACGCTCTCATATACACTATTAGAACGCTCTCATAAAGACTATTAGAACGCTCTCATATACACTATTAGAAAGCTCTCATATACACTATTAGAACGCTCTCATATACACTACTAGAACGCTCTCATATACACTATTAGAACGCTCTCATAAACACTATTAGAACGCTCTCATATACACTATTAGAAAGCTCTCATATACACTACTAGAATGCTCTCATAAACACTATTAGAACGCTCTCATAAACACTATTAGAACGCTCTCATATAAACTATTAGAACGCTCTCATAAACACTATTAGAACGCTCTCATATACACTTGTTGGGAGCTGGAGAGAATCCCATCTTTCTCCAGCAGAGTCCGCCGTGGATCCTCTGAGGGAGCCTCCTGCACAGGTGCAGCTCATCAAGATCATCAGAGGATCCACTACATAAGCTGCCTTCAGACCTTGCCTCAACGCCGCAGTGTTGTTCCAGTTGGTCAGCGCTAAAGCCTTGATCTCAGTGATTATCTCCATGACTCTAATCCCTAGTTGGACTCTAACCTCTGTTTCTGTGCCTCTAGGAAACTCGTGCTTCCTCCGTGAAAGCTCTGGAAGAGCTAACCTGCCGAGCCGACCCTCAGAGCCAAACCCTGAAGATTCTCAGACAACCTCCAAGCAGCTCTGGGCTAGAGCTGGGAAACCAAGGCCAAGGTCTGCTCAAACTAGACGTGAGATGCTGAAGCAGCTAACGGACTCTGCTACTCAATCCTTCTCCAGAACCAACAGTGACTCTCCCAAAGAGAACCTCAAGAACCCTCAAGGTACCATCTGTGCATCATTGAAAACCAAGTCCCGCCAACAGTCCTTAACTGTGCTGTCTCTCACGCAGACTCCGGTGAAACCAGAATCCAGGCCCGAACCAGCCTTCTGCATATTCAGTGTGATTGTGCAAATAAACTTGTTAAACTTTTCATCCTGTGTCCGTCAGTGGTGTTCTGCATCTTTGGGTCTCCAATAGAGAACCGATCGTGACAGAACACTGCGGCCAAACTCAAGGCCCAGCAGATTACCATCTCCGTCGACTAGAAGAACAGGCTGCCCAAATCCAAGGATTGAGCCTGGCTTTACGTGAGTTAAACGCCCATATTGAAAGACAGAACCAAGCTATTCAAGGCTACGTTAACTACTTCAATGGCGCAAATGCTACATCCGTACAGCAACCATTTCCGGGTTCAGTTCCTCCCCCGAGGTCACAACCTGTGACGTCATCAGAGTTCCGTCCTAGTCTCCCAGAAAAATTCTCTGGTAACATGAAAGATTGTAAGGGATTCCTATTCCAGTGCCGGCTGATTTTTCTGAACTCTCCTGGTTGTTTTTCTACAGATCACAAGAAGATAATGTTCATTCTCTCTCAGTTAACAGGAAGAGCTTTAGAATGGGCTCAGGCAAGATTTGCCATCGACGACGGTTTAAATTGCCGTTTTTCTGACTTCATTGCTGAATTTTCCCAGGTCTTTAACCAGGAGACAGACCAAACGATTGATTCCAGAGCTCTTTTCAACCTTAAACAAGGTAATTCTTCAGTGGCAGATTTTTCAATTAACTTCCGGGTAAAAGCGGCAGCTTCCGGATGGAACCAGAGCGCTCTAAAAGGAGCATTTTTCATGGCTCTAAATGAACAAATCAAAGATGAACTTGCTACCCTCGATGAACCAGCCTCCCTCGAAGATTTAATTCGTCTCTCCATCAGATTAGATAACAGAATTCGAGCCAGAAACAGTTCTAAGAAGCAAGGTAACTTTTCCTCTGCCTCTCATAACATGGCTGTTCTCTCTCCCTCTACAGAGCAGATGCCCACACAGAGATCTAAGCCCCAGTCTCTATCATTGCCTGTTCAGGCCTCTCATTCAGGCGAAAGGGATTATGAGCCTATGCAGGTGGGACACACTAGGCTCTCTCCTGAGGAGAGACAGAGGCGTTTTCTAGGAAAACTTTGTATCTACTGTGGTGAGAGTGGTCACTTTATCGCCTCCTGCCCGGCAAAATCAAAAGCCGGGGCCCGCCAGAGGATATGAGGAGTCTGGCGGGCCATATAAATTCAATTAAATCTCCTCGACTGTTGCTGCCAGCCACCCTTTTCTGTAATAACCAGAGTCTCTCTTTCTCCGCCTTCATCGACTCAGGCTGTGAGTGTAATCTAATGGACTCAGACCTCGTCCAGCAGCTCCAGATTAAAACCGTTCCCCTGTCTCAGCCTCTCAGTGTGTCCGCCATAGACGGAAAGAGACTTCATCGTGTTACCCACCAAACCCAGCCCCTCGAGCTACTTTTGTCAGGTAACCACCGAGAAACTATCACCTTCTTTGTGTTTCCCTCTGCATGTTCCCCCCTGGTCCTCGGATTCGAGTGGTTGGAGAAGCATAACCCTCACATAAATTGGACCAAACGTCTCCTGGAATCATGGTCTACTACGTGCCACGAAACATGCCTTCGTTCTGCTGCCCCGATGTTGGGGCCTCCTAGAGGTGGGGGGGAGATGGACTCTCCTGACCTTTCTTCAGTTCCCTCTGAGTACCACGACTTAGCCCCCGTCTTCAGTAAGGTCAGTGCGACGTCCCTACCTCCACATAGACCATACGATTGTGCCATAGAACTTTTACCTGGTGCTCCTCTTCCAAGCAGCAGATTGTATAACATTTCCAAACCAGAAAGAGAGACTATGGAGAAATACATCAACGAATCATTGGCTGCTGGAATAATCCATCCTTCATCCTCTCCCCTGGGCGCCGGTTTCTTCTTCGTGGAAGAAGGATGGTTCCCTGAGGCCATGCATTGACTATCGAGGTTTGAACCAAATTACAATTAAAAACAAATACCCACTGTCTCTTCTCGCCTCAGCCTTTGAACCAGTGCAGGGTGCAACTGTCTTTACCAAGCTGGATTTAAGAAACGCTTATCACCTCCTCAGAATACGAGAGGGTGATGAATGGAAGACTGCCTTTAAGACACCCTTGGGCCAATTTGAATACCTGGTGATGCCTTTTGGTCTGACTAACGCCCCAGCCTGTTTCCAAGCCCTTGTTAATGACGTTCTCAGAGATTTCCTCAACGTGTTTGTGTTTGTTTACATTGATGACATTCTCATTTATTCCAAGGATCTCCATGAACACAAGAGACATGTCCGTCTCGTTCTACAGAGACTACTGGAGAATAAGCTGCTCGTGAAAGCCGAGAAATGCGAATTTCATCAGTCTTCAGTCACCTTTCTGGGGTTTGTGCTCGAGGGCGGCCAGGTAAAACCTTCTGAGGACAAGATCAAGGCAGTCCTAGATTGGCCAGTTCCAGAGAATCGAAA